GGGAGGGGGAGGGGAGGGGAAGGGAAGGGGAGGAGCAGGGGGAGGGGAAGGGAGAGGGAGGGGGAGGGGCAGGTAGGAAGGAGGGAGGGGAGAGGGAGGGGCTATGTTGCTTCCTGCAGTCCCCTCCACCTCTGTCCCTCCGGGTCACCCCTTTGTGTACACGTCAGCATGGAGCTCAGCTCTGTGCTCCCCTGGGTGAAGCCTGTCCTCACCCACTGCACTGCCGTCTGGAAAACACTCAGCCAGGGATCAACGCCGATTCCCTGAACTCCTGACCCACCCGTCACCACTCCCTCTGGCCCAGCAACGCCACTTACCGCAGAGTGAACTGGTCTGCTACAGAGCCGCTGGCCACGGAGACCAGGAAGGTGGCCGCATCCCCTTCGCGGATGAGGTTCAGGGGCACGGAGAGGGCAATGTTACTGTCCAGGCTCAGCAGGGACCAGCGCAGGTCATCCTGCGTGGGGTAGACCACCACGCTGCCGATGCGCTCGCGGGCGGGGGATGCCAGTGGGGGCCCCTCGTGGCCCGAGTGGATGTTGTTCTCCCACCTGCCCTGGTCCTCCAGCGGGCATCCTCCGGCCTCATCGGCCGGGTAGAGTGAGAAGAAGAGCTCCATGGCTGTGCCCCCCAGCTGGGCCGGGATCTCCTCCTCCGGCTCCAGGTCCAGCCCCGAGCTGAACCACTCGGGCAGCAGCTCCAGCTCAGCCACGCACAGCCCCGGGGCGCCCTTCAGCCGGCAGCTGGCCGCCACCTCCCTGGCCTCTGGGAAGGCGAACATCTTGACACAAGGGAGCTGCTCCCCGGGGTCTCCATCATCCCAGCCCATGCCGCTGACATAGAACAGGGTCTGCACCTTGGGCCTGTTGGAGTAGATGGAGCTGTCGAGGATGTGGGACTTCAGCTTCCAGTTGAAGGGAAACTTCTCGAGGCTCCCGAAGGGCGTGGACGTCAGCATGAGCTCGGCAGGGACCACCTTCTCCGCCCAAAACGGGCCATAGCTGGCGTTGACGGTGGGGGGCGCCCGGGCTCGGTAGATGAAGAGGGCCTCGGCCCGCGCCTGCAGGCTGAAGTTGCGCGCGAGGTCCTGGTTGGCTTCTTTCAGGAAGAAAGCCTCGCCCACGTCCACAACGTGGAGGTCGGCGGGCAGGTACACGGGCAGTGGGGAGAACCTCTGCACGCTGTCCGCGCCGCCCCGGCTCTCGGTCACTGCAGGGGAAGGAAGCAGAAGAGCAATAAAAGCCCGTTGGGTGCTGAATAAAACACGCACGGTGTGGTCTACACCACCCTGCTGCAAACCACCAGCCGGACCCCAGCCTCCTGCCTCGCGTGCTGAAGGCCAGGCTGCTGCAGGAAGAGTGTCCTGCGGGTTCTCCCAATCACCCGCATGCCGCCGCGGGGGCGCACACCTGCAGGCCCAGCACTCAGGGGCCCGAGGCAAGAGGACGCTGCAAGCTCAAAGCCGGCCTGAGGGACGCAGTGAGACCTGCCTGCCCCCTAATGAAAACAAAGACAACACACCAGAGCAGGGGGCTAAGACAAGCCTGAAGCTTTGGCTGAGCACTTGCACCTCTCGGATGCGCCTCTGCTGGAGTCCCGGTGAGAGCACAGAGCCGCTGGTCAGTGACGCGCGCTGCGGCATCATCCAGAGCCACAGACAGACCGGTGTCCACCCCGGTGGGTCCCGACGCCTGGGTTGGAGCCCTGGCCCCACCACACCCTAGCAGAGCAGCTTGGAGCAAGGTACTTAACCCTCTGTGTGTCAAGGGGCCTCACAGGAAGCAAACTATGAATCTATAAATGGGGTGCTGTAAAGATGAAGGAGTTAACAGGAGATGCTCACAGCGTGCAGTATGGGCCCTCATGAATGTTCACTGTCTACCTGCCAGTATTATCAGCAGATATACTAAAAGTTGACCTATAGGAGACTTAAAGTATACACATGTACAGCAAAACAATAGATGACTATTTAAAAGAGAGGGAGCCAGGGAGCTAGCTCAGTAGAATAAGCGCTTGCCTGGCAAGTGCAAGGGCCTGAGTTCAATCCCCAGTTCCACCGAGAGAGAGAGAGAGAGAGAGAGAGAGAGAGAGAGAGAGAGAGAGAGAGCTATAGAGAGACACTGAACTATGGATGTGCTTTCCCCACTGTAAAGAATGCCTACGATGTGTCATTAAATATAAAAAACGAATTCTTATTGTGTCACTGCTGTGGTTTGGCCACATCCCCCGGAAGTCCATGGGTGGGAACCTTGATTCTCTAGATGCCCATAGTGAGGTGGGGCATGGAGGAATGATGGGCTCAGAGGGTGGTAGAGTCTGGAGAACAGGCTCTGCCAAGGATGCACCAGGCGTTCCAGAACTGCAAGCCCAAATGAACTTCTGTTCTTTCTAAACCACTTGGTCTCGGGTCACCTGGTGTATAGCAACAGAAAACAAGACAGCCATATATGATCCTAGTTGGATAAAATGTCGGGGCTCTGCAAATGCATTTAAATGTATAGTGCATTATTATTGCCTATGGAGCCCCAAAGAAAAAGATTTTTGCTTTTGACCATTTATTTTCTGCCTTCAGTGTATTCCAGTGATAAAGTATTTTCTTGTTAATTGATGTATATAATGTACAGGTGTGCATGGTAGCACACACACGTAACCCCAGCTCCTGGGGAGGTTGAGGCAGAAAGATTGCCAGTTGCAGGACAGCTTGGGCAATGTAGCAAGATTTCTTGCAATATTTGTAAAAAGTAAAAAGGGCTAGAGACGTAGTTGTGTTCCCTGGGTTCGAAAACGAGAGTATCCGGCACACATGCACAACACAGAGATGTTCCATACGCTTCTTCATCTCTATCTTTCAAGTGGCAGAGCCAGCCAGCAGAGAGACCGCCTGCTTTCCACAGCGAGACAGCTCGCCAGTGACCAGGACGGCGAGTCCAGCTAAGCACAGACAGGGATGCTTTGCTCCTGCCAGGAAGTGAACCTCCGCCACTGCCACCTGGACTTGTGACCCACACCAGGACAAATGGAACGTGACAGCAGGCTCCAAATGTGGCCTCACCAGGGGCTGCAAGGGCAGATACACACCACGCCGTGGTACCGACTGCTGCGGACCCTCCTAGCAGGCGCTCCAGGAGCAGGCATCCCCCAGCACCACCCCGGGCCAGGCCTTCCTGGGTGAACTGTGAGAGGAACACAGTCACTTTCTCACCCTTCTAGTCATTTATCTAACCACATCACTGTCTGTCTCTTATGCTCCAGGACTATGGCCTGTAAGAAACTCGCAACCGGACTGGAGAGATAGCTCAGCGGTCTAAGCACCTGCCTGGCAAGCGCAAGGTCCCAAGTTTGATTCCCTGCTACCACAAGTTGTGCCAGCCCTGGAATCCCAGGCATGTTGGTACACACCTGTAATCCCAGTGCTGGGGAGGCTGACACAGGAGGATCACTGAGTCGGAGCTGTGTAGCAAGACCTTGTATCAACAATAAAGAAGAAGAGGAAGAAGAGGAGGAGGAGGAGGAAGAGAAGCTCACAATGACCAGGCAGACATGATTTCTGTCCCAAGGCACTGGGAAATCCCCAAGGACCTAGGTCATTTTCACAGAGCAACCAAGGGTCAGAGTATTAAGACCCTTTAAGATGTCTCTCCTGGCAATTCTCTGCCCTGGGATTCATTCCAAAGATACAGGCAAACAATCAGGAAGCAGATTACTATGCAACTGCATTCATCACAAGCATAGTTTCTATGTGCAGAGCCAGCCAGCAGAGAGACCGCCTGCTTTCCACAGGAAGCTGAGGCAAGAGGATCACAAGTTCGAGCCCATTCCAGGCAGGTTAGTAACTTAGCAAGACCCTGCCTCAGAATAAAATATCAAAAAAGGGATGGGGATGCAACTCGGCAAGAAACTCCAGGGCTCAATTTCCAGTACCAGCCAAAAATAAGTAAAACTTTAAATGTTAGGTAAATCAATAAACAAATCACTAAAACCATTCTATATGTACAAGATTAAATTGTCACCAAAACCCCAATCTTATAGCACGTTCATTGAAAAAGAGCACATCAAAATGTTGTTTAAATTATTTCAAACCTGCTTATACACACAGGTATATGCACAAGGTATTCCTTCCATCGCATGGACCTGAGTTTCCTCTACAGTGAAGCTATGTAAATTGGGCAGGATTGGGGTTAATGAACTGAAAAAGATAAAATATAACTTGGAAGAACTGGCCTCATAGAAAGGAAAGTCCCAGGGGCTGCCGCCAAGGGACGCTCTGCACCTGGGGGACGTCATGCAGTGCACAAGTACCTTCCAGGGGAAGCTAAATTGCTTTTCTTGTTGGTGGAGGTTTCTTTCCCCATCTCCAAACCTGGAAGTCAAATTCCAGGTGGATTCGCTGGAGATAGAACCACAGCGGGCAGCGGACAGTGTCACGAAGCTGGCTCAGCGGGCAGAGAATCCACCAGGTTTAGAAGTGACTTCAGCCTCTACCTTCTCTTAAAATTTAGGTAAGGCCCAAGGTGAGGCTTAAACTCGGGTTTTATGTACAGACACAGAAAAGGAAGCAGAAATCAATGCAGACTTCAGACTGCGCTGATTGTATTGCGGGTCACCTCGTCCTTTCCTTTTTCTTTTATGTTGCTACTTTACACCTCTCAAAAATTGATCTCCAGAAAATTGAAGGCTGCGTATCCTCTCTTTATTGTAGCCAAAGCCTTTGTTTCACCCGAAACTGCCGTGCAAGGGCTATATTCCTGCGCTGCTGTAACTCAAGCGAAACGCAATACAAATTTTGTCTGAAAGCCTATATGGGGAGCCGTAAACGTCAGCTGCCAGGGCCTGATTCTGTCCTCAAACCACCTTGCAACAAACAGAACGTGACGTCTTCATCTCGCAGCAGACTGCGGGCCCCTGAGACTGCGCCTCAGAAGTGCACACCCGTGGCCACAGGCCCGCACTGCCTTCTCGTCCTCAGACATTCTTTTGGCCTGCATGCTACTTCCCCTCCACAGGTGGACCAGGTGGCCATGTGCTGGACAGAGGTGCGGCTCCGTGGGGCTGAGAGCGTTTCTCAGAAGGCTTTCCCCCTGGATGGCAGGACGGGCCCAAGAGCACAGGCGGGGAGAGCTCAGGGAAGCCAGCGGAAAGGACTCCCACCCTCTCTGCCCACGGTGCGAGCCACAACAAGACTCTGGCTCAGAGAGGGCATGAGGAGCTGGTGTGGAGGCGGGACAGCAAGGCACATGGCCATGAGGACGCCCCTGAAGACAGGTGGGGGGCCAGGGGTATGAGGCAGTTAGGGGTGCTCACACAGACCCCTGAGTGTTAGGGTGGCACAAACTAGATTCCCAGGACCAAGAGTTGGGAGCCCAAGATGCTCAGAATGGGCTCGGGAACTGCCCCTAGCCCACCGGCCCTGGCTGCTGCTGCCCACTAGGCAAGGGCTCCGGGTACCCCCACAGCACAGCGGCTTTCTCCAGTTCAGACACAGAGCCCCAGGGATACTGGGTCTCTCCCAGCCGGCCCATGAGAGAAGCGCCCTGCTCTTCTGTCAAAGGGTAGCCTTGAAAACTGCTCGCAACTCACTATCCCCCAAATGCCCCTTGAGTAACCTCCAGTCAGGGGCCAGGATCTAGGAGGCCTCCACGCGCAGTCATCACAGCGTGGCTCCTGGGGCTGTGGCCATGTCTTCCTCTCCACCTGTCATGCTTGCCTTCCCGGCTGGGTCCAGCCTCTGGGCTTTGAAAACCCAACCCTCTCTTTCCCTGCAGCCAAGAGGTAGGTGACTACTCACAGTCTGGCTTGTCGGATTCGCCACCACCTGAGGCACTAAAGCTGTTTGTTAAATTCCCGCTATTGAAATACTAGAGGGTTTCTGCTTTCTTGGCTGCAGCCGGGCTCACACAGTCAGTAACGACCCTCTTCACAGCCCTTCCAGGCTACCTTCTCTGTACCCCTTGATCCTTTTTTTTTTTTTTTTTTTTTTTTTTCCTTTTTCCTTTTTTGGAACCGGGGATTGAACTCAGGCCCTGCGCTTGTCAGGGAAGCGCTTATTCCGCCATGCCATCACCCCAGGCCCCTTTTGATTCTTGCTTGTTGATTTCTTTCCTACCCACCCCGTCCACTAGAGGCCAACTCTCTGAGAGCGGGGCCTGAGGTCCAGCGTACTGCTGAATCTCCAGTACCTAAAAGAGAGGAACGTGTGCTCAAGAGATGTC